AAGTACATATTTTCACGTGCATAGAAAGTTTACTTCAATCTTACATTAACAGCTATGGTTTGTCAATGTAAAATTTGCTGATTTTGTTTTAACTCAGTCTCTGTGGAACAGAATAATACGGTTTTGGAAAAATCAATACCTCTGGCAATATCTTTCAGCTCTTTTACTGCTAATGTCAATATCAATTTTCATGACTCAGTGTTCTGGTTGTTCCCGTTTGGTACACAAAATTTGTAAAAGAAAACAAGTTAAGCAATGATTAGGAAATAATAAGGCCTGAATTGAATTTGCTCTTCTGCTGAAAGAGCTCAGAGAAATCTCAGGTAAATACCAACCATTGATTTCAAGCAAATTCTACTGGGCGAAAATTTTCTTTGTAAGGACTATTTAGCTCTGAAACAAGTTTCCGAAAGTAACTTCAAGGAAACATAACTCTTTATTTATCTGATTTATGCTTTATGCTATTTATCTGATTTAAGCTGTATTTATCTTTTCCAAAAGTTCATTTACCTTTGATGTAGAGACTATACATCCGGTGTTTGCTTGGATAATACAGTTTGATAAGCAGTTTACTTAGGGAAAACAAATAATTAGTTCTTTATTTGCTGGCTATACAATCTCTAAATAATTTTGTAAACTTTAATCCTGTAACTAAAGAAGTCTAAATTATCTTAGACACAGTGATTGCTGTAACCAAGCAAGTTATAGAGAAATGCCACACTTTGAGACAAAGTAAAGAGTCCTCTATTAGCCAGCGACCAAGAGGCAGCTAACGCCCAAAATTCTCTCAGCCCCGAGGACCAGGCTAATTCTGTTTACATACCGTGGTCTAAATAGGGGAGGGGGGATTTTAGCTGAAGCAATTTTTACAGAAGCAGAACTGGCAAAAAGTTAAAAAACTAATTGGTTACAAATGCAGTTACAAAAAAATAAACAGTTCCAGGTGCAGGGGCTTAAACTATCACAAAGAGATAAATGCAGGGTTTTTGGGTGCCATTCACCGAGCGCGTCCCCAGGAGCTGCTGGTGCAGCTTGCCTCAATATCTTATCAGTAGGTGCATTCCTGAACGTGTTTTGAGTCAGTTTTACACTAGGTATGCCTTAAGGGAGGGAGGTGAAAGGGGGCTGCAAGTGAAGAAACTAAAAATGGAGTCTGTCCGGCTCTCTCTCTGCTAGGAGAGAGTCACTCAGGTTAAAACAAGGTAGGGTATCACATGATTGTTTCTAGGTAGGCATTTGTCCTGGGATGGTCTAGTTTTAAGGAACCACAGGCTTGTTGTTTGTTGAATGAGGGAAGAGAAATTCACTCTTATTCTGAAGCTGAATGAGTCACAAGTAACCCTGGTTACTCTGGCAGCAGTAATCATGTGAGAACCCAGGCGCCCTGGAAAGCAGAGCCAAGAGTAGGAAGAAACTAGGTTCTTGGTTGGTGACCATTTATCATCCAAACCAAGACCCTTGTAGGAATGAAAGGGGTGCTGTTAATAATTATTCTAGGACAAAAGCATAAATCAGAAGCGTTTTAGGCAAATCAGGATCCATAGTCACCCAAGTTCTTGGTGATACCCCATGTATTGTTGAATACCTGGACCAAACTATACTTGAAGCCTTATCTATCTGGACTTTTCAGTTACATGAACCAATGTATTCTTATTATTTAAGCCAATACGTGTTTGAAGTTCTCTGACTTACACTATAAAATATCCTAATTAATATAGTCTCTCAACTTCTTTCCAATTTCTTCTCTGTTTTGAAGCCATTGGAATTTCCGGACATGTCTGGAAACAATGTTAATAATCTTCCATCACATACGTTTATACATACCACTCAACTGGCATTTCTGCATTTGATCGGAAACCAATTTCACATTCTGCCTATTTTTTGACACTTTAAAATAAAATTAAATAACAAAATATTACAATCTTATATTAGAACTATTAGATTTCAGCTGGGCACAGTGGCTTATGCCTGTAATCGCAGCACTTTGGGAGGCCAAGGCAGGCAGACTGCTTGAGTCCAGGAGTTTGATACCAGCCTAAGCGACATGGCAAAACTTCATCTCTACAAAAAACACAAAAATTAGTTGGGCATGGCAGCACGCACCTGTAGTCCAGCTACTCAGGGGGCTGAGATGGGAGGATAGCTTGAGCCCGGGAGGCAGAGATTGCAGTGAGCCAAGATTATACCACTGCACTCCAGCCTGGGTGACAGAGCAAGACCTCACCTCAAATGAGAGAGAGAAAAAAAGAATGATTAGATTTCTTTGGTAATAATATATAACAGAAGTGAGATTAAACTTAATATAGTATGAATACCTTTAATTAGGAACTGAATTGGCATACTCATTACTTTTTAGGCAACACCGTACAAAGCCTGCACAATAGTGAAACAAAGCAATAACAACTATCAAAGAAGTTTACCAACAAAAGTGTTTCTGCCAATGCAATTTAAGCTACTCATTTGCTGTAGTTGTTATCCTCTTAATAGCAATATCCCTTTAAAGGCAATCTCCTGTGAGGTTGTTTGATGCTCATGCGGCAAATTGGTGACTGTAGGTGTCTTTTGGGTTATGGATTCCAGACCTTTTTGGTATTACATGTGTTACATGTTGTTTACCATTTTAAAATCCCATTCCTATATCACTTCGTTGTTGCAGTCATTCAGTTGATAGATTCCTTCATCATGCATTTATCAGTGTACCTAATTTGTGTAAGACACCGAGCTAAGCAGAGGGGCGCCTATGCTCTCCAAGAGCTGCCATGTGGCTGAGGAGAGAGGGTATGCAAAACTCTGACTCTAATACAGCTTCTTTTTATTGTTTTAATTTTGGGGGGTACCCTGGAGTGCAGTGGTGTGATCTTGGCTCACTGCAACCTCCACCTCCCGGGTTCAAGTGATTCTCCTGCCTCAGCCTCTCAAGTAGCTGGGATTGCAGATGCACACCACCATGCCCAGCTCTTCTTTTTTGGTATTTTTTTAGTAGAGATGGGGTTTCACCATGTTAGCCAGGATGGTCTTGATCTCTTGACCTCGTGATCCACCTGCCTCGGCCTCCCAAAGTGCTGGGATTACAGGCATGAGCCACCGAGCCCGGTCACAACGAACTTTTTAAGTTGTCATTAAAGATTGGTGTTTTGGAGAAGGAGACACAAACCCTGGGGCAAGAGCGATGGGTGAGAACTGAGTGTAGTCTTGTGAAGGGGCCTCCTTGTGAAGTGTTAACTTCTTACATGATTTTACTTCTATGGAGAGGAAAATTTAGTGCATTTGAAGCTTCATCTCCTCTCTTCCTGTTCTGTATTTTTCCTTTTTAATAACCCCGTGTACTAGTCTGTTTTCACGCTGCTGATAAAGACTTACCCAAGACTTGGTAATTTATAAAGAAAAAGAGGTTTAATGGACTCACAGTTCCACGGGGCTGGGGAGGCTTCATAATCATGGTGGAAGGCAAAAGGCACGTCTTACATGGTGGCAGCAAGAGAGAAAAAATGAGAGCCAAGCAAAAGAGGTTTCACCTTATAAAACCATCAGATCTCGTGAGACTTATTCACTACCACGAGAAGAGTACGGGGGAAACTGCCCTCATGATTCAATTATCTGCCACCAGGTCCTTCCCATAACATGTGGAAATTATGGAAGCTACAATTCAAGATGAGATTTGGGGGTACAGCCAAAGCATATCATCCAGTCTCAGTAGAGAAAGCTATATCCATCCGTACAAGTGGTTTGAAGGAGACTGTGGGAGAAAAGGGAGGGAAGGGGTGACCAGCCCACCTCCATCTCTATATGCTGGTCCCCTGTGCAGACCAACCAGTAGGCCCAGGAAGAGACCTGTGGAAAGGTGAGCAGAGGCAAAGGACTGCGATGAGACAGTGGTGGCTGGGGAGTGGCTTCAAGGGGACACGCCGAGGTCAGCCCTCCCTCAACGCTGGAGGGAGCAGAGAGAAAAAAGGCATGCCTCTGAAAAACAGAAAAATTACATAAAGGTTGGTGTGTCGTTTCCCATCCACTGCTCCAGCACCGAGGGCCAGGAGGACTTTTGCTGTGGCTTAAGAGTGATGGTTTCCCTGTGTGTGGGTGTTTCTGAAAAGCTGTGTGTTTCTACAGGCAGAGAACACTGGCACTTCTTGCTACTGTATAAGTCCATCAATAGGTTTTCCTGCATGGTTTACTAATATTTGCCGGAAGCCTCATGAGTCCAATTTTCCACACTAGAGACTAGGAATAGGAATAGGAATAGCAATAGGAGCTATGCTTGAAACTCTACTTTGGCAAAGGATTCTTATTTTATAGAAATGTCAACGGAATGGAATGACTTTACTTAAATACAAACAAAATTTTAAAAACCTATACTAAATTCCAGTTCTTTCCTCCTTCACCTTCCCTCTTTTAAATGAACATTTGTTGTTGTTACCTTTTTTGTGTCATTTGCCAAAGCGCTACAGACTCAGTGGAGAAAACTGGGAAAATTCAGTGAAGTACGGGTAATATTTTGGTCTTATGGTAATAGAGATAGCGATGAACATTTTTCTCTAAACAGTGATGGGGTATTGTGAACTGCGGTATGCTTTTTTCCTCTTCTGCCACTTTCTACTTTTTAAAAGAAGGGTGACTGTCCGACCTTCCTGTACCGGTTGTCGCAGCCCGGGCCAGCCATGGTTGCAGACAGACCGCCGGCTGGGTGCCTCCCTGCCGGTCCCCAGGCTGCCGGGCCTTCGCCGGCGCGGCCCCTTTAAGGAGGCAGACGGCGGGGGCGGTCCCCGCGCTGATTGGCGGAGCTCGGAGCCACGTGGCCGTCTCGGGGCTGCTGCTGTTGCTGTTGCTGCTGCGGGGGTCGGGCGGCGGCCAGGGGGTTTGGGTAGGCACAGCTGGACCCCGGGAAGGGGACGAGTCGACAGATGTGCGTGAGGAGGTCCCTGGTCGGCCTCACCTTTTGTACCTGCTACCTGGCTTCTTACCTTACGAACAAGGTGAGGGGGCGGGCGCGGGAGGCAGAGTTTGCACGTGGGAGGTTTGAGTCGGATAATCTTCCCGTGACAAACGGAGCCTCCTCCTGCTTTTTACCTCATTCTTACTTTTACCTCATTCTTCCTAGTGGCGATGGAGAGCGAACCTCCTCCGCGTGTGGGATGCTCTTTTCGAAATAGGATTTGTCAGCTTGTACTGTCCCTGTTTCCTGCACTGTAAAGCATGGCACATCTCCAGGGAAACAGGATTTTTGGGCTGGCCGCTTCCCGGGAACTTGGTGTGGGGCTGTGTGGACTAGTTTTAAGAGCAAGCAAGCAATTGGCTCCTGCTCCCCCGGGGAGGAAGAGTCAGAAGAAATCTGACACATCCTGTCTTTTTTCTAAACACGCCCCTGTCCTAGAGCCCCGTGAGGTTCCAGAAGCCTTTAAATAGAAGAGATTAAACCGTCTCCCCCTCGCACTGCTGATTCCCGAATCAATTTTTTGTACGTCTCCACTGTAAGCACTTTAGGAGATTTTCATGGAATTATTTTTAAAAATAAAACGTACATTTAATTTTAGGTTTAAACTGATGTCATGAAATCATGAAAAGCTTTTGGCGAGGAGGCAAAGAAGCCGTGGTGCCAGGCTTGGGGTTTTGTTTTGCAAGGACAGGGAAGCTGGCTTTAGGTTTGGTACCACGCAGGGAAAGGTTGGACCCAGTAGGACCGAGTGAGCATGGCTGGTGCATTACCTGTTGGCCTGGGCTCTGGGCTGGCCCCAGCCAAAGTGGGAATACACGGTGCAGGACCACCTGGCCCCACTGCGGGGTCTTACCGCGGGCTGCCCACCTGCTCCGCTCTTCCTCTCCCCTCTCTTCCTCTCTGGAAAAGAACCATCAACAAACAGCATTTCCTTCTACCTCCTATCCTAGGGTGAATGGCTGTCTTTATATATTCAGAGGATGCTCCCCAACCCCCTTTCCTTCTCCAGTTGATTTTTATTTTATTTTATTTTTTTTCATTTCTTTGAGATAGAGTCTCGCTCTGTCACCCAGACTGGGGTGCAGCGATGCGATCTCGGCTCACTGCAACCTCCGCTTCCCGGGTTCAAGCGATTCTCCTGCCTCAGCCTCCTGAGTAGCTGGGGCTACAAGTGTGCGCCACCACGCGGGGCTAATTTTTGTACTTTTATTAGAGACGAGGTTTCACCGTGTTGTCCAGGCTGGTCTCGAACTCCTGACCTCAGGTGATCCGCCCGCCTCAGCCTTCCAAAATGCTGAGATTACAGGTGTGAGCTGCTGCGCCCGGCCTCCAGTTGATTTTTAGTTATGGCGATATGCCTTTGAAGGTCCATAAATGCAGCCTTCCTGGGAGGCAGTTATGGGTTTTACTTCCTGGCTCCACTTACTTGGCGTTTGGAACCTTACTCTTTCTAAACCTAAGTTTCTTAACTTTAAGATGGGACAAAGCGTGCTCTTGAAAGTGGTGTTGTGGCCGGGCGCAGTGGCTCACGCCTGCAATCCCAGCACTTCGGGAGGCTGAGGCGGGTGGATTGTTTGAGGCCAGGAGTTCGAAACCAGCCTGGCCAACATGGCGAAACCCCGTCTCTACTAAAAATACAAAAATTAGCTGAGCGTGGTGGCAGACGCCTGTAATTCCAGCTACCCAGGTGGCTGAGGCAGGAGAATCACTTGCACCTGGGAGGCGGAGGTTGTAGTGAGCCGATTTTGCACTCCAACCTGGGCAACAGAGCGAAACTCCATCTCAAAAAAAAAAAAAGAAAAGAAAAAAGAAAGAAAGTGTTGTTGTGAGAGTTAATGGAAATGATGTTGGCCAGGCACAGTGGCTCAGGCCTATAATCCGAGCACTTTGGGAGGCTGAGGTGGGCGGATCACCTGAGATCGGGAGTTTGAGGCCAGCCTGGTAAATATGGTGAAACCCCATTTTGACTAAAAACACAAAAATTAGCCAGGCGTGGTGGCAGGCGCCTGTACTCTCAGCTACTCGGGAGACTGAGGCATGAGAATCACTTGAGCCAGGGAGGCGGAGGTTGCAGTGGGCAGAGATCAGGCCACTGCACCGCAGCCTGGGCAACAGAGTGAGACTTCATCTCAGCAAAAGAAATGATGTTTGTAAGGTAGGTGGCCTAGTGCTTGCCATTGTAGCAAACTATAAGGTAAGTGGTCCTCACTCTGGAAGAAAAGAAAGGACAATCTTTTGTTTATACTGTGACAGTAATTAATAACTTTTAACAGATTTGTTTTCTTCTCATGGGACAAGTAGCTAAACTAAAGGAAGATTTTTTTTTTTTTTTTATAGCACCTACTCAGGAATTTGGGAATTTGTGAAATTTCTGAATTTTTCAATTTAACTATTCTAATTTGTCTAGTGAACCTGATGGATATGATGATAAAATTTTACTTTAAAACAAAATAACCTTTCTTTTATTTCCATATAATCATTGGAAGGGGTAGATCAACACATCTGTCAGGAAAGCCCATGAGCCGTGGCATTGGTTCGATAAAACACATTTTATTTAAGCAAAAAAAAGCAGACAAATAGCATTCAGTTCATAGAAATTTATGCCCCTCTCTGGATGTACATTTTCTTTGTTTCTTCCTTTCTTTCCTTTCTTTCTTTCCTTTCTCTCTCTGTCTCTCTTTTCTTTTCTTTCGACAAAAGCTCACTCTGTCATCCAGGCTGCAGTGCAGTGGTGCAATCTCAGCTCACCACACCTCCACCTGCCGAGTTCAAGTGATTCTAGTGCCTTAGCCTCCCGAGTAGCTGGGACTACAGGCGTGCACCACCATGCTGGGCTAATTTTTATATTTTTAGTAGAGATGGGGTTTCGTCATGTTGGCCAGACTGGTCTCGAACTCCTGACCTCAGATGATCCGTCCACTTCAGCCTCCCAAATTTGCTGGGATTACAGGCATGAGCCACCACGCCTGGCCTGGATGTACATATTCATTTGTGGTACTTTTACAAAATTTTTTGGAGCCCCATGGCATTTTATAAATTTTTGTCTGTTTTTTGAGACAGGGTCTTCTTCTGTCACCCAGGATGGAGTGCAGTGGTGCAATCATGGCTCACTATAACTTCTGCCTCCCAGGCTCAAGCGATCCACACACCTCAGCCTCCTCAGTAGCTGGGACTATAGGCACGCGCCACCATGCCTGGCTAATTTTTGTTTTTTTTTTTATAGAGACGAAGTTTTGCCATGTTGCTCAGGCTAGTTTTTAACTCCTGGGCTCAAGCAATCTGCCCACTTTGCCTTTGCCTCCCAAATGCTGGGTTTACAGGTATGAGCCACCATGCCCAGCCGACAAATTTAATAAAAAAGACAAAATACCTTCCATGTTCTTAATGCGTCTAGGTGTTAGATTAAATTAAACCAAATTGTTTGGTCCCAAGAATATATAATCTGAATAATCGAAATCATAGCTGACCACGGGCCCTGAGAATGTAAATACGATGGTTTGGAATGCTTTGGCTTGGGGATGTTGGGAAGTGTCAGAACTAGTGGAAAGAGTAGGTCAAGAACAGCTTTTGTTTATACTGTGACAGTAATTTATAACTTTTAAAAGATTTGTTTTCTTCTCATGGGACAAGTAGCTAAAGGAAGATTTTTTTTTTTTTTTTTTTTTTGGTAGCACCTACTCAGGAATTTGTGAATTTGTGAAATCTCTGGCTTTTTCAATTTAACTATTCTAATTTGTCTAGTGACAAATTAGTGGCAGGAAAGAAGCGGAGACAAAGGAGATTGTCCACAGAGGGAGGAGGAGGTGAGCTCGAGAGTGGAGGAGAGGAGATGGGAGAGCCAGGGAGGTTGTACATAATGGGACCCTGGTGAGGAACTTTATATCTCTTAGAAGCTTGAGCCTTTTATGGCCATTGTTTCATCTTCTCAACCAGGACGGTGATGTTCCCTTCTGGCAACCAAGGCTCGGGGGCGGGGGGGGTCGGCTTGGACCAAGTAGAGGCCAACTGGGAAGAAATCTGCAGTGGACACCCCATGAGCATATTCGTTCTACTATAAGCATATTCTAGCATGAGCATATTCTACCATGAGCATATTCTACTATGAGCATATTCTACTGTAATGTGGCAGAGAGCATGTAATTTCTCTGCCACATTAATTTTCTTTTGAATTAGTGAAGATTTTTTTTTTTTTTGTCTAAAGTAGAGGATGCTCTCTTCTAGTTTTTTGAAGCTTCCATTTCAGTTTATTTCCATATTTCTTAGTGTAATTTTCTCCTTCAGCCGTTCCTCTATTTATTTGTAGAAAGAAAATTCTTTTGAAAAAATCTTATATAGCTCATTCTGACCCCTTCTATTGTTTGAAAGAATGGTCGATATTTGTTAGAAATTTGAAGCAGCAAGTGTGCTGTCAAAGGAAGCTGCCCTAGGTAGGGAGGGAGGAGAAAGCACCACATCATTGAGCTCTGGCTTGGTGGCCTGGGCTGGCCCAGGCTGATGACATGTTCCTCCGTCCTTTGGGAGGTTCCAGCTGTAATCAGGCCCTAGGCAGCCGGCTGTCCTTCTTCCCTTCATAGCAATTGAGCCTTCAGCTCAGAGGCAAAGTTCATTTCTGATCTGGACAAGTGGTTGGCATCTGTAAAATACAAAGAATGTATTAAATTAATAAATACTAAAACCTCAGTGAAAATAAATGGGTAAATGGCAGAAGTAGACAATTCACTGAAAAAAGAGATACAAGACCGGGCATGGTGGCTCACGCCTGTAATCCCAGCACTTTGAGAGGCCAAGACAGGTGGATCATCTGAGGTCAGGAGTTCAAGAGTAGCCAAAAATTAGCCAGACATGGTGGTGCGCACCTGTAGTCATGGCTACTTGGGAGGCTGAGGCAAGAACACCGCTTGAACCGGGAGGCAAAGGTTGCGGTGACCCAAGATTGCATCATTACATTCCAACCTGGGCAACGGCGAGACTCCATCTCAAAAAAAAAAGAGTTACAAGTGGATAATAAGCATAAGAAATTTACTTACATACCTTTCAATGGCTCCAATTTTTTTTTTTTTTTTTTTTTTGAGACAGAGTCTTGCTCTGTTGCCGAGGCTGGAGTGCGGTGGTATGATCTTCGCCCACTGCAACCTCTGCCTCCCAGGCTCAAGCGATCCTCTCACCTCAGCCTCCCAAGTAGCTGAGACTACAGGCTTGCACAACCATGTCCGGCTAATTTTTGTATTTTTTGTCAAGATGGGGTCTCACCCTGTTGCCCAGGCTGGTCTTCAACTCCTGGGCTCAAGTGATCCTTCCGCCTTGGCCTCCCAAAATGCTGGGATTACAGGTGTGAATGGCTTCCAAATGGCTCCTTCTCTTTCCTCAAGAACCTCATTGCTAGGGCTTTGCTGTTCAATCGATAGCATTTTGTCTGAGCAACACTTCTCAGTGACGCGAGGAATTGCCAGAAGGGGGCAGCAATTAGGACCTTGATTCCATTTGTCATAGATTTCTTTTTTCTCTATTCTTTAGCAAGGTGAGGCAAGAGTTTCAGGATCTTTGATTTCGCCCAGTATGTAGGCCAAAGCTAAGCACACAATAAACGAAACATTTATTGTTGTAATGAAGTTTGTTAAGGGTATTTCAGGCCATGACTCAGATGCTCACTTAATCCTTTCTTTTTCTCCATATGAGAATAAAAATATCAGAAAAGTAGGGAAGAACATATTGAATTATGTAGTAAATAGATTTCAAGGAAGAAGAGGAAGTGTAGAACAACGCATAGGCAGTTAGCCGTAATTGTGGCATTTAGGAGCTCAAACAAGGGGAATTCTGTGTGGACTAATTCCTGGGAAAAAAGAAGATATATAAACTTGCCCAACACCAGTCCACTCCATTTTTTTAGAGCATGTGAAGGATCAGTAGAGTCGTTGCTTAAAGCCATTTGAAAGTTTTAGACTAAAAAAATTAATTCTTGGTGGTCAATAATAGGAAAAAAATGCAAAAGATACCCAGAAGGATGAAACACAATTCCTTCACTCATAAAGTGCTATAAATTCAATTATTATACATAAATATACATAAGAGAACTAGAAATTGACCTTGAGTTGGTTTTAAAAAAGTCCGTAACATCCTAAAACACAGCAAAAACTATGACTCCTATGCAGAATTAGTTTGAAAAAATCATTTAATACAAACAACATACAAAATCCTAAGATGCAGAATTAGTTTGGGAAAAAAAAATCATTTAATACAAAAGACATACAAAACCCCCAAAATTGAAGGACAACAAAGGAAAGAAAGACTAGGATGTGGTTTTACTTGAAGAGAAACAAAGAAAGGATTGGATTTTTAGGTAAACTGGACCATAGATAAAGTGGATACCCTGAAAAAACAGACTGTGTCCGGGGACTTGTCTGAATTACTCTGGGGCTGCTACAGTTACAATGTGACATTTCTGGCATCTGGGAAGGTGCTGAGTGTTCCAGCATCTGTAACATCAGACCCAGCTGCTGTGCTTCCTTATTTGCTCATGATGCCAGCTCCATTTCACCAATTAAAAGACAGCCAGGCTTCTGGCAGCGCTGGGAAAAAGCGGCTCAATCTCTTTTTTTCTTTTCTTTTTTTTTTTTTTTTGAGATAGACTCTCACTTTGTTGCCCAGGCTGGAGTGCAGTGGCACGATTTCTGCTCACTGCAACCTCTGCCTCCTAGGTTCAAGCGATTCTTCTGCCTCAGCCGCCTGAGTACCTGGGACTACATGTGTGCATCACCACACCTGGCTAATTTTTGTGTTTTTAATAGAGACGGGGGTTTCACCATATTGGCCAGGCTGGTCTCGAACTCCTCACCTTATGATCCGCCTGCCTCGGCCTCCCAAAGTGCTGGGATTACAGGCGTGAGCCACCGTGCCCGGCCGGCTCAATTTCTTTAGTATTACTTAGGAGGTCATTTGTTTGCCCAGTTTGTGATTTTGATGAGAATAATGGCCTTTTTAAAACTTGAATGTACCTAGGTTATGTGGTTATGCGGTTATGTTTCTTTAATAGAAATGTCTTTGATTATATGGTTTGTCAATTTTCTATCATTTGAAATGTCCAATAATTTGGTGTTTGTTTTTCAGTATGTGCTGTCTGTCTTGAAATTTACCTACCCTACATTATTCCAAGGGTGAGTATTCTTTGCTCTTTATATACATTTTTAGGAAATGTCCAACCAACATCATTCTTTGAAATAGTTTTAATAACTGCATAGATTTTTTTTTTTTTGGCAAATAGACATATTGTAAGATATTTAGCCACCTTATTAACAGACATTTATGTTCCATTTTGGGGGTATGAAAACAATGTTACTAGACATTTTTGTGTTCAAGTCTGCCAGATTGCCAACTATTTCTTTGGGATTGATTCCTACATAAGAAATTTGGGTTAGGCTAGGCATGGTGTCTCATTACTATAATCCCAGCACTTTGGGAGGCTGGGGCAAGAGGATTGTATGAGGCTGGAAGTTCAAGACCAGTCTGGGAAACATAGCAAGATGCTGTCTACAAAAAAAAAAAAAAAAGAAAAAGAAAACTGGCTAACCATATGCAGAAAAATGAAACTGGACCCCTATGTCTCACCATATACAAAAATTAACTCAGGGTGGATTAAAGACTTAAATGTAAGATCTCAAACTCTAAAAATCCTAGCCCAAGAAAACCTAGGAAATACTTTTCTGGACATTGTCTTAGACAAATAATTTATGGTAAGTCCTCAAAAGCAAATGCAACAAATGCAAAAATTGACAATTGGTACCTTATTAAACTAAAGACTTTCTGAACAGCAAAAGAAACTATTAACAGAGTAAAGGGATAGCCTACAGAATGGGAGAAAATATTTGCAAACTATGTATCCAACAGAGGACTAATATCCACAATCTATAAGGAACGTAAATAAATCAACAAGAACAAAACTAAATAATTCCTTTAAAAGTAGGCAAGGTCCACGAATAGACACTTCTCAAAACAAGATGTGCAAGTGGCCAACATATGAAAAAATGCTTAACATCACAAATCATCAGAGAAATGCAATTCAAAACCACAATGAGATACCACCTCATACCAGTCAGAATGGCTGTTATTAAAAAGTCAAAAAATGGCCGGTGTGGTGGCTCACGCCTGTAATCCCAGCACTTTGGGAGGCCAAGGTGGGTGGATTACCTGAGGTCAGGAATTCAAGACCAGCCTGACCAGCATGGTGAAACCCCATCTCTACTAAAAATACAAAAGAATTAGCCAGGCATAATGGCACATGCCTGTAATCTCAGCTATTTGGGAGGCTGAGGTGAGAGAATGGCTTGAACCTGGGAGGCAGAGGTTGGAATAAGCGGGAGGTTGGAGTGAGCCAAGATCGCACCATTGTACTCCAGCCTGGGCAACAAGAGAGAAAATCTGTCTTAAAAAAAAAAAAAAAAAAGGCAAAAAATAACATGTTGGCAAAGTTTTGGAGAAAAGGAAATGTTTATACACTGTTGGTAGGATTGTGAATTAGCTTAACCCCTATGGAAAGCAGTTTGGAGACTTCTAAAAGAATGAAAAATAGAATTACAGTTTGACTCAGCAATCCCATTACTGGGTATATACTCAAGGAAAATAAATTCTTCTACCAAAAATATACCTACACTCACATGTATTTTATCACAGCACTATTCATAACAGCAAAGACAAGGAATCAACTTAGGTGCCCATCAACAGTGGGATAAAGAAAATTTGGTATATATGTATATATGTATGTATATATATATATACTGTGGAATACTACACAGCTGTAAAAAAGAGCACAATTACGTCCTTAGCAGCAACGTGGATGCAGCTGTAGGTCATTATCCTAAGTGAATTAACATAGAGAAAACCAAATACTGCAAGTTTTTACTTGTAAATGGTGGCTGAACATTGGGTACACATGGACATAAAGATGGAATAGTAGACACTGGGGATTCCCCAAGGGGAGAGTTAGGGAGAAACGTAAGTAAGGATTGAAAAACTACCTATTAGGTACTACTGTGTTCACTGGGTGACAGGATCAACAGAGGCCCAAACCAGCATCACACAATGTACCCGTGTAGCAAATCTGCACATGCACCCCTTGAATCTTAAAAAAAAAAAGAAAATTAGCTGGGCATGGTGACATGAACCTGTAGTCTCAGCTACTCAGGAGGTTGAGACAGGAGGATTGTTGGACGCCAAGAGTTAGAGGCTGCGGTGGGCTGTGATCTTGCTGCTGTACTCCAGTTTGGGTGACAAAGTGAGATCCTGTCTCTAAAAAAAAAAAATTAATTAATTTGGATTAAAGTGCATGAACTTCTTTAGTATTCTCCTTAAATAGTAACATTCTTTTCCAAAAATGTTTGACCAATTGACATTGCCACCCAGCCTCTATATGAACGTTTCGATAATATTGTGCTCAAACTGTGATTCTCTTTGCTGATTTCATGAGCAAAAGGTGTATTGTTTTGTCATATAATTTTTTAGGTTATTCATCAAGTTGGACAATTTTCTTATGCATATTATCCACTTGTATCTCTTTTCCGGTGAATTGTCTAGTTGTGCCTTTTATCCATTTATTTTCATTGAGGTTTTAGTGTTTTTCTTATTAATTTAATAAATTCTTTATATTTTAACGAGCTCAATCTGTTGTCCATTATGTTTTTGGAAATAATTTTTGCAATTTGTTCTTTGCCTTTCAATTTGTTTATAATTATTTCGATTATTTAAATATTTTTTATGTGGTCAGATATATTGACTGTTTCTTTCATGATTGCTTCCATTGCTTTTGTTCTTTTCTTCTCCATCATAAAACCATTTAGATATTCAACTATATTTCATTAAAACTTTATTCATCATTGTCAGTTTAATTTAGTGTATGGTGCAATGTGAAGAAATTGTCCCTTCCCCAGTAGTTAACTAATTTATACCGGCCTCATTTATTCTATAGGCCTTCCTTTTGCCTTATTCCCAAAGGCATAATCATCATTTAGATATTCACCTATATTTCCTTAAAGCTTTATTCAAGCTTTAATTGTTGTCAGTTTAATTTAGCGTATGGTGCAATGTAAGGAAATTGTCCCTTCCCCAGTAGTTAACTAATTTATGCTAGCCTCATTTATTGTGTAATCCTTCCTTTGGCCTTATGTCCAAAGGCATAATAATCTGTATATGTTTGTTAATATCATATACAGACTGTCCCAACCTAACGACGGTTGGACTTACAATTGTTTGACTGTACGATGGTGTGAAAGCAATATGCTTTCAGTAGAAACCATACTTAAGCTTTTGAGTTTTGCTGTTTCCCAGGCTAGCGATATGCCATACAATACTCTCCCCTGGTACTGGGCAATAGTAGCAAGTGGTGAGCTGCAGCTCTCAGCCAGCCACGCTAATATAAATGTTCTGAACATGTTTATGGTAGGCGAGGCCAAGCTCTGGTGTTCGGTAGGTTATGTGTATTCAATGCTCTTTCAGTTATGACATTTTTAACGTATGATCAGTTTGTTGGGATATAACCCCATTGTAAGTTGAAGAGCATCTGTATAAAGTCATTTTTTGTCTGGGCACAGTGGCTCACACCTGTAACCTCAGCACTTTGGGAGGCCAAAGTGGGAGGATCCCTTGAGGCTGGGAGTTTGAGACCAGCTTGGCCAACATGACGAAACCCCGCCTCTACTAAAAATACAAAAATTAGCCAGGTGTGATGGTGAGCATCTGTAGTCCCTGCTACTTGGGAGGCGGAGGCACACAAATTGCTTCAACCCAGGAAGCGGAGGTTGCAATGAGCTGAGATCATGCTACTGCACTCCAATCTGGGCAACAATGTGAGACTGTCCCAAAAATAAAAGATTTTTTTTAAAAAGTCATTTTTCTTTTTCTTTTTCTTTCTTTCTTTCTTTTTTTTTTTTTTTTTTGAGAGGGAGTCTCCCTCTGTCGCCCAGGCTAGGGTGCAGTGGCCGGATCTCAGCTCACTGCAAGCTCCGCCTTCCCGGGTTCACGCCATTCTCCTGCCTCAGCCTCCCAAGTAGCTGGGACTACAGGCGCCCGCCACCACGCCCGGCTAGTTTTTTTGTGTTTTTTAGTAGAGACGGGGTTTCACCCGGTTAGCCAGGATGATCTCGATCTCCTGACCTCGTGATCCGCCCGTCTCGGCCTCCCAAAGTGCTGGGATTACAGGCTTGAGCCACCGCGCCCGGCCAAAAAGTCATTTTTCTAAGGTCTCTTTTTGGGTATGTATTCGTCAAGTTTGATGTTAAGGGACTAGTGCTGAATGGTTTTCATTGTTAAACCATTTAAATATGTAGTAGAGCGAGCCGTCCCTCACTCTTCTTCTTTTAAAAAAATGTTCGTTATATTATCACCACTATGTCATTTCAGGTGAACTTTAAACTACTTTATCAAGCTCCTCCCTAATATTTCATAGCAAACACGTTTGTTTGTTTTTCTAGAGGCAGGCTCCCTCTCTGTCACGCAGGCTGGAGTACGGTGGCATGATCATAGCTCTCTGCCGCTTTGAACTCCTGGCCTCAAGCGATCCTCCTGGGATTACAGGCGTGAGCCACTGTGCCCGGCCTCATAGCAAAAGTTTTAAAGTATCTTCTGTGATTATGGGTATTTTAGTCAATAAAGCTGGGATACCGGTTTCTTTCTTACAGAGAAGCAAGCGTGTTTTGGTTCTGATTGTCTTTCCACATCTGTAAAGGTAGAGGGACTGAGGGAAGGTGCGTAGGAAAGGGTGATCTCTATGCTTGGATTGCCATTCTCCTCCCTGTCCTTGGATGAGACAGACTGAATGCACCTCCCCCACAGAATGTAAGATCTACAAAGGCAGGAATTTTGATTTATCTATTTTGTCACTGGTGTATTCCCAGTGCCTAGAACAATGCCTGGTGTCTGGTAGGGCAGAGCAACGTATTCTGCAGATGCCTGGGGTACATCAGTGAAGAAAACATATCCCTGCCCTCATGGAGCTTGCTTTTTAAATTCCATCTGTTCCTTAAATTCACCTGCAGTGAATGATTACCCTCCATTTAACTACACAATTCAGAACCTGGGAGTGATTCTTGTTTCCTTTGTCTCCTTCATCCTCAACATCCAGTTAACCACCAGGGCCTCCTAGACATCTTCAGAATCTGTCCACTTTCTTCATCCATCTTGCCCCTTTCCAAGCACTGTCTTCTCTTCAATTACTATAAAAACTCCTAACTTACTTCTTTGCCCCTAGTCTTGCTTCTCAGAAACATTCCCTCCCTTGTAAAGAGAGGGAGCTTCCCCAAATGTAAATGGGACAGGGTCACTCCCATGCCTGGAAGCCTTCAGTGAGTCCCCAGTTTGAAGTCCCAGCTCCTTATGATTGACGTGGTCCTTTAGGATCAGCCCCTTCTCTCCAGGGTCAGCCCTTGCTGCCCTCTCTGCAATGCTCCAGTGCTGGGGTCCAGACCAATTGAACTTCTCCAAGAAGCTTTGAATGAAGTCATTGTCTCTCTCACTTCTGAGCCTTTGTCTCTTCTGGATCTTCTGCTTTGAACGTGCTTCGGGTTTTTGCACAAAGTTATTCTCTCTTGGAAGTCTTACCCACTCACTAGACTAGGTTAGCTTCCCTCAACAGAGTGGCTTATAGTACCTGGTACACTTCCTTTTAGGGCTTCACGCACTTTGTTGTAATTATTGATTAATTACCTTACTTTCACTAGATTGGAGTTTCTCAACCTTGGAATGACATTCCAGCACTGACATTTTGAGTTGGATAATTCTTTGCAGTGGGGACGGCCCTGCACGTTGTAGGATGTTTAGCAGCATCCCTGGCTTCTACTGGCTAGATTCCAGTGGCATACCTTCTGCTCCTCTCCCTAGCTGTGACAACCAAACATTTGTCTAGACACTGCTATATGTCCCCTGGAAGGGAAGATTGCCTGGTTGAGAATCACTGTGCTAGACCAAACTGTTTGAAGGCAGGACCCACATTTAGTGTGTTCTGTTTGGCTGGGTCAGTGAAACTTCACACAGGATATATGCAAACTGGGTGTTATAGGCTGAGCAGGTGTTCACCACAGACAAAGAGATGGGAAGAACATTATGGGGCAAGAGGATGGCACACCCGGACTCCTAGAAGTATGACATGACCTGGCATGTTCCCAAGGCTGTGGGCCATCGGGTGTGGCTGGAATGTGGCTGCACACAGCAGACAGACAGGAGCTAACCCTGGAGAGGGGCGGGTGCAAGTCCCAAAGGACTTTCTGTGTCACACCCAAGTGACTTTGTCCTTTAGGCCAGAGTTCTCCACCGTGATGTGGCAACACATGGGTGTGTGGTGGTCATAGTCACTTCCGAGGTGAGCTGTCTCAAGTCATTTATCTTGAAATACAGGGTTTTGAAATTTATGAATGACTCAAGTAAAATAAAAAAGCAATTAGAGCCAGCAACTGTCCCTCTCACTCATTTGGCATTCTGATGTGCTTTCTGCATTGGGAGGGGGAGGGGTGTTTGTGACCTGTGCTGCCCCTGCACTGTGCATGCTGGGTGCTGTGTGTCTCAGGTGAGCTTCATGACCTAGGAGCGTGTTGTAGGCAGAAAAGACGCTGAGGGTTGCTGCCTGTGGCACCAAGAAGAATCATCTGTTTTTAAAACAAGCAAGTAGCACAATTAAATTCGCATTTTAGGACAAACCCTTTGGCTGCAAAGTAAAGAATGGATGGGGGGCAACCTTGGAAGAGGTGGACCAGTTAAGGGACTAATGCTGTGAGCCAGGCATGAGATGATGAGAGCCTGAATTGAGACAGAAGCAGGAGGGTTGGTAGGGAGGGAAGACTTCAGATTTGAATGCTGTTATGGGGATAAATAAAATCAATAGGATATTGTGCTTAGACGAGGGAGGTGAAGCCGAAGAGGTAAGGTGGAATGCCGCCTAGGTTTCTGGTTTGGCTGATTAGGAATAGGGAGGATAATTTGAGGGAGAGGTTCAGGGTGATGATTTAGGCATGTTATCACTGGGAGCTTGGCAGGGAGGATGGGAGGGGGCTGAGGGTTGAAACGATATCTATTGGGCACAATGTATACTGTTCAGTTGATGGACACTGGAAGCCCAAACCTCACCATTGCTCACTATATCCATGTAACAAACCTGCACATATACCCCCAAATCTATGAATAATAACAATAATAATAATCATTGAGAGCTTGTGGGAGATCATTGTGGCAGTATCCAGGTGAGAATGGGGATTGGGGAATCATCAAAGTAGAGGCAGTGGGAGAAGCAGTGACTATGAGCGAGGCCGTTCAGGAAAAGTCTAGAATAAGAGGAGAAGAGGCCAGGCGCGGTGGCTCACACCTGTAATGCCAGCACTTTGGGAGGCCAAGGCAGGTGGATCTTGAGGTCGGGAGATCGAGACCACCCTGGCTAACAGGGTAAAACTCCGTCTCTACTAAAAATACAAAAAATTAGCCAGGCGTGGTGGCACGCGCCTATAGCCCCAACTGCTTAGGAGGCAGAGGCAGGATAATTGCTTGAACCTAGGAGGTGGGGGTTGCAGTGAGCCAAGTTTGCACCATTGCACTCCAGCCTGAGCGACAGAGCGAAACTCCATCTCAAAAAAAAAAAAAAAAAAGAAAACAAGAGGAGAAGAATGTCAATGTCAGTACTTGCTGGACAGCTGGACTCAAGGGAATAGTAGAGATTGAGAAGGAAAGTCTGAGAAATGGGATAATTGGGAGAGAGTGGCAGAAAAGAGGAGTAAACAGAGTTGCACGTGTCTCTTTGTGTCAGTCAGCAGATCTGCTGGGGCTGGATGGTGTTGGAGACTGTAGCACTCTGTGAAATTCACATTGCCTCTTGTCCTTTCCAGGTGGCAGACACTCATTGGTGGACTTTTGCTTCATGTGTCCTGGAAACTGGGCTGGGTAGAGATCAACAGCAGTTCAAGGTATAACCTCTCTGTGCTGGACTCATGCATGATTCACACTCTGCTTCCTTTTGATGTTGTATAATTTCATATGATGTTACACTGGAAACACAGAGGTTTATTTATTTACTTATTTATTTATTTTTGAGACAGAGTCTCGCTCCGTCTCCCAGGCTGGGGTGCAGTGGCATGATCTTGGCTTACTGCAACCTCCGCCCCCCAGGTTCAAGCAATTCTCATGCCCCAGCCCCCCGAGTAGCTGGGATTACAGGCACATACCACCATGCCCGGCTAATTTTTGTGTTTTTAGTAGAGATGGGGTTTCACCATGTTGACCAGGCTGGTCTTGAACTCCTGACTTCAAGTGATCCACCTGCCTTGACCTCCCAAAATGCTAGGATTACAGGCGTGAGCCACTATGCCTGGCCAACACAGAGGTTTGTTTGAGTTGTTTGCTCTCTTAGTTCCCTTCTAACTGTGAAGTTTAGTGATTTATTTTCAGATAAAATTCAAATAGTATTTTCTTGGGTAGTAATGCCACTAATATAGTATTAACTGATACATTGATGTAGTGTGGGGAAAAAGTTAATTGAGGTATGTATTTTATAATGTCAAATTAATTTTGCTTTGTTTTAGATCATAGGATATGATGAATGAAATTATATTAGCTTAACAAGTTTTTTTAGTAAATTTCTTATTTTAAATTATTTCTGGCTGAGCATGGTGGCTCATGCCTGTAATCCCAGCACTTTGGGAAACCAAGGCAGGAAGATCACTTGAGCCCAAGAGTTTGAGACCAGCCTGGACAACATAGGGAGACCCCACCTCTACAAAAATAATAAGAAAAATATTAACCAGGTGTGGTGCGTGCCTGTGTTCCCTGCTACTCAGGAGACTGAAGAGGGAGGATCACCTGAGCCTGGGAGGTCAAGGCTGTAGTTTGCCATGATTACACCACAGCACTCCAGCCTGAGCCACAGCAGGAGACCGTGCCTCAAAAAAAATTCTTACCTATAGAAAAGTTAGAATGATACAATGAACTCCCCTACCCATTACTCAGATTTCCTTATGATGATGCTTATTATTTTGAGATGGAGTTTTGCTCTTGTTGCCCAGGCTAGAGTGCAATGACACAATCTCAACTCACCGCAACCTCTGCCTCCTGGGTTCAAGCGATTGTCCTGCCTCAGCCTCCCGAGTAGCCGGGATTACAGGCACCAGTCACCATGCCTGGCTAATTTTGTATTTTTAGTAGAGATGAGATTTCTCCATGTTGGTCAGGCTGGTCTCAAAACTCCCAACCTCAGGTAATCCGCCCACCTCAGCCTCCCAAAGTGCTGGGATTACAGGCGTGAGCCACTGTGCTCGGCGATTTCCTTATTTTCTCATGCTTTTCTTATCATTTTCTCTTGATGTACTGTGCATATATGTATATGTATATGCATACATATGTATATAAATATATAAACTTTTTTTTTCCTGAACTTTTTGAAAGTAAGTTGTAGATTTGACAGGAGATGTCTCTTTTCTTTACTTCTGAATTCTTTAGGGTATTTTTCCTAAGAGCAAGGACATTCTCTTACAAGACTGCAATAAAATTATCAAAATCGGGGAGATATTAACATAGATACAATACTATTATCCCATTTAAAGACCATATTTTGCCAGTTATCTCAATGGTATCCTTTATAGCCCTCCACTCCAAAATTCTAGTCCGGGGTCCAATCCAGATCACACAATACGTTAGTTGTTATGATTCTATTAAAACAGCCTTTTAAATATGTTTAAAAGAAATTTAGGCCGAGTGTGGTGGCTCACACCTGTTATCCCAGCAGTTTGGGAGGCCGAGGCAGGTATATCACTTGAGGTGAGGAGTTCGAGACCAGCCTGACCAACATGGTGAAACCCCATCTGTAATAAAAATACGCAATTAGCCAGGTGTGGTGGCGCATGCCTGTAATTCCAGCTACTTGAAAGGCTGAGGCAGGAGAATCACTGGAACCCAGGAGGCAGTGATTGCACCACTGCACTCCAGCCAGGGAGACAGAGCGAAACTCCGTCTCAAAAAAAAAAAAAAAAAAAATTTTAAAGACGATGACATTATCTAGCCAAAACTGTAATCCGAATTGGTTATCTACTCCTGCCTCACCTAGATATCCTCCTGATTCTTTGAGAACATCCTTCCTATCCTGAAATGATGCGCAAAGTGAAAAGAAAACTAAGTTAAGGTTAATATGAATAAAGTAAACATCCCAGCTGAATGAGCAGGCCAAGTTATTCACCTTGTGATGACTCTGCCCAGCTTCTCCATTAATCAGATTGACTGCTTAATTGTTAAGTCACTCCTTTGTTTGGCACTCTGGAGAAGATTTGAGAACATGTTCAGGGTAATATTAATAATTTTAGCTTTTCGACCAGATGTGGTGGCTCATGCCTGTAATCCCAGCACTTAGGGAGGCTGAGGCAGGAAGATCACTTGAGGTGACCAGCCTGGCCAACATAGTGAAATCCCCTCTCTACTAAAAATATAAAAATGAGCCCAGCGTGGCTACTTGGGAGGCTGAGGCAGGAGAATCGCTTGAGCCAGGGAGGCAGAGGTTGCAGTGAGCTGAGATCATGCCACTGCACTCCAGCCTGGGTGACAGAGTGAGACCCTGTCTCAAAAGAAAAAAAAAAGAAAGAAGAATACTAATTTTGGCTTCTCCTGAAAATTTAAAACCAGAGAACAAAAAACTAGTATTAAGAAGTTTTATGAAGGAGAGATCCTGGGAACATAGGTGTACATTAATGTATGTGACCATATTATATCATAATCCATATCCAGAAGGAATATTCCACACAATGTGCTTAGCTAATCCAAAGGAGAAGTTCATTAAGTCACAATTTTGCATTTTCATGGTATAGTATCCTTAATTGGATGAAATAAAGATACTTTTGGGATTCTATATGTTATATTAAGCACAAGTCTTACTAAATACTCCACTGTTATGGTGGATAGTTCAGTAAGAATTGGGTTTCATTTAAACAAATAGGGATACAGAATTCACAAGGCCTGCGATAGTTGTGATATTTAAATACTGAAGGATCCTAGCTCCAAATGGGTAAACATATTCCTTCGAAGAAGCAGGAGCTTGGGCCGGGATGAGGGAATTGGCGATCACATTATGACCTGAGGACCACTGGTGCAGATCAACATGAGTCTTCCTTGCTGATTCTAATTATCGCATAATTTCTGATGTAAATTATTTACTTATTAATAGCCATCTTTAAAAATTAACTTACTCATATTTTCTTAAAAGCAATGCCATTTTTCACATGAAAAAAATTTTGTTTATTGTGTTATTAATAAAATATGTATAACATAAGATTTCCCATTTTAACCATTTTAAGTGCACAATTCATTGGTTATAGTCACAATATTGTACAATCATCATAACTATTTTTGTCTAGAACTTTTTTGTCATTCCAAACATAAACTCTGTACCCATTAAATGGTATCTTCCCATTCTCCCCTCCCAATTGCTCCTGTTCTACTTTCTTTGTCTATGAATTTGCCTATTCTGGGTACCTTGAGTACCCAGAGTTGTACAATATTTGTTCTTTGGTGTCTGACTTTCTTTACTTAGCATTAATATTTTCAAGTTTCATGCATGTTGTAGCAGGAATCAGAATTTCATTCCTTGTGAAGGCTGAACAATGTCCATATGTATTCATCACATTTTGTTTATGCATTTATCTGTTGATAGAATTCTCCATACTTTTATTATTTTGTTTTTTGAGGTAAGGTCTTGCTCTGTCGCCCAGGCTGGAGTGCCGTGGCTCAATCTTAGTTCACTGCAGCCTTGAACTTCTTCTGGGCTCAAGCTATCCTCCCACCTCAGTTTCCCAAGTGACTGGGAGTACAGGTGTGCACTACCACGCCCAGCCAATTGTTTAATTTTCTGTAGAGATGGGGGTTTGCAATATTGCCCAGGCTGATCTCTAACTCCTGACCTTAAGCAATCCTCCCCCTTCAGCCTCCCAAAGTGCTGGGATTACAGGCATGAGCCACTGTGCCCAGCCTTCTAATTGGTGTTTTGAAGGGCTGGTAATGACTAGCAGAACTGGCCAAAGATTCTCAAGATTGCTTCCCTGGAAGAAGTGGTCCTTTGACTATAGAAGTTTGAAACCCACTAGACACTTACCCCTTGGACTTGGCAGTGTGCTGCTGGGTTCTACCTATCTCGGAATATCCGTGATCACATCTTCTTTTCAGCTCCTAGCTAAACTCCATAGAAGTCTTTTCACCTCTGTCTCCTATAGGTAAGTGTATTCACAGCCACCCATAGCTCCATTAAACTTTTTGTCAAAGATCCCCATATCTGGGTTTTTGGTGGATCTTGTAACTGCTGGTACAGCTCAGGATTTCCAGTTGCCATGGCCCTTGGCGAAGGAGCGCTACCAGATGTTCAGCAGAAAGATCCAGCACCCTCGTTCTTTTGTGTGTGCTGGGCTGGGTTTGTATTTGCTGTGGCTGCTGTTTCCTCCTGGGCTCGGTTTTCTGATTATGTCATTAGGGAAGTGAAGCCCAGTTTTACTGAGTAACTGTGAATGCAGAGATGACAGAGATTTGGCTCTTCTAAAAATGGAAATATCAGGAAGACAGTTTGGAGTCCCAGCGGCTACTGTGGGGTGGGGATTGTAATGGTGGGGCTGGAGAGTGGGTCCTAAGTTAGGAATGGACAGCACAGGCCATGGAGAACTCATTTAGATTGCCCTTCTAACCTGGAGCTCAAAGAGGCCCCCATTCCCTCTCATATGTCAAATGAACCTCAGAACCTGGCAACACATTTCTTTTTTCTTTTTTTTTTTCTTTTTCTTGAGATGGAGTTTTGCTCTTATCACCCAAGCTGGAGGGCAATGGCACGATCTCGGCTCACTTCAACCTCTGCCTCCTCGGTTTAAGCAATTCTCCTGCCTCAGCCTCCTGAGTAGTTGGGATTACAGGCGCCTACCACCATGCCCAGTTAAATTTTTTTGTA